TTAGGAGTTGTTGGGCTGAAGGGCTTATTAAGACCCTAAGCCCTAAAAAAGGCTTAGGAGTTGTTGGGCTGAAGGGCTTAATTAAGACCCTAAATCCTAAAAAGGGCTTAGGAGTTGTTGGGCTGAAGGGCTTAATTAAGACCCTAAACCCTAAAAAGGGCTTAGGAGTTGTTGGGCTGAAGGGCTCAATTAAGACCCTAAACCCTAGAAAGGGCTTAGGAGTTGTTGGGCTGAAGGGCTTAGTAAGAAGATTTAGGGCTGAAGGCCTAAAACCCTCAACTCCAAAACCGCAAACTCAAGGGGTCTAACCTAAAAGGAACCCTTAAGGATCATAAGCCCCCCCCAAACCCCAAACCCAAAACCCAAAACCCTGAACCATAAACCCAGTCTTGAGGACAACTCGAACTCATATTAACCTCAAATAACCTATCGGTTTGGGCTCTCAACGGAAATCATTCTACGGAGCCCTAAAAAAATGGTAGGTTTCAGGTTTCAGGTTTAAGGTAACTCATACACTTCGAAGGATGGATCCGGGGCCTAAACCCTAAATGCCGGGGCTTGAGAGTGCTCACGTTGCAGGGTCTAGCGCCCCAAGATTCACGATTCAGGGTCTGATGTGCTAGGCTACATCCTTTAAGCCCTAAACCCTAAATCCTAAATCCTACCTCCTCAACCCTAAACCCTAAATTCTAAACCCTACAAGCCCCAAACTTTTCGGGAACACAATCCTCGTTGCCAACAGCCTTGGCCCTTCCACACCTTGGAATCTGGTGGCCTGGAATATCTGCGCCATACGAGACAGGTTTTACGTTTAAGAGTGAGTTAAGGGCTTGTAGCGTCTAGGGTTCTAGGGTTTTAGGGTTTCAGGGTTTAGGGTTTAGGGGTTTAGGGGTTTAGGGGTTTAGGGGTTTAGGGTTTTAGGGTTTCGGGTCTTACGGTTTAGGGTTTCGAGGGTCTAGGACTTAGGGTTTAGGGTTTAGCCGACAGGTTGCCTACCCCTTCAAGCCCTAGAATCCCAAAGCCCGAGGGCAAGCCGGAGCTTTGCTTACGGATTTAGGATGGGGTTTAGGGTTTAGGGTTTATAGGGTTCAGGGTTCAGGGTTTAGGGTTTAGGGTTTAGGGCATTAGGATTAGATTTTAGGGGCCAATCTCCCGCGATGCAGCCTTAAATCCTGTTAAAAGGGTCTTAAGAACACCTAGGAGAGCCCTTTTACACGGAACCCTTCGTCAACCCTACAACGAATAGCGTCTAGAAGCAGCCCGATATCAGGCCCATGGACCAATCTCCCCTCGACCCTAACCCTTGAACCTTGAACCCTAAACTCAGCTAAGCCGCCCTAAACTTTAAAATCACCCCCTAAACTCCCAAACCCCAAACATCCCTGAAACCTAAAGGCTATACCCTGCATCCTAAACCCTGAGCCCTAAAACAAAATAATCACCCCCTACACTCCTAAACCCCAAACATCCCTGAAACCTAAAGCCTAAGCCTCCCTGAAGCCAAAACCCTTATCCTCGGATGCAGCCTCTCTGTCTCCTTCACGAACTCCGACTTGGCAATATCATCACCGATCTGAGCCCCGAGATTGTTGGTTTTCAGACATGGCATTAGGGTTTAGGGTTCGGGGTTTAGGGTTTAAGGTTTAGCGTTTAGAAAGGAATGAATGGGGATTTGGGCCTTAGGGACGGTTTTATGCCTTAGTGGAGTGCAGGTGTAGTGTTTAGGCTTATGGGGAACATATGGAGCGACTTGCTTCTGGTATAGGCTTCGCGAAGGTTCACGTGCCTTGCATATACCTGGAACTACCAAAACCTACGTCTTGTCCCTATAAAGTCTACATTAGGGTTTAGAACAAGATACCTTTTCAGTTAGTGCTGAAGATGCCGCAGGACTTGTTCAAAGGTCCCTGTAATCCTTTTGGGCTCCGGTTCCGTAATCTTCAACGAGTCCATGGCTTGAAGTTTCAAGTTTAAGGCTTATGATGTTCTTGTTCTTGTAAACGGCCATTGCCGATAGATGCTCGCATCTTCATTGTGGCCCAAGTCTGGACTTTCAACCCGCATTTTGTGGATCTGACAACTTCAGACATGGCGATTTCGGATGTCGGTCCCAAGGGGTCCTATGTACCTATATAGTAGAATGTAGGGTTTCTTTATTAATAATTACAATTGTGATGTAGGGAAGTACCCCCCCCCCATCACAGTACATAGGACTCTTTGGGGGTAGCGCGGCCGCGAGCACCCGTCGAGGCCAAATCTGTTGAGATGAAAGCATTGCGTAGCCACCGACAATTCCACTCCTCACCATCCTCTAGAGTTTAGGGTTTAGGGTTCCGGGTTCAGAGTTTAGTTTAAGGCTTAGGGGTTTAAGGTTCAGGGTTTAAGTTCTCCATCATTCCCTGATCCTGGCGGCCAGACTGAAGATGATACAGCCTCGAAGCGAGGCATGTGCTCAAGCGGTACCTGTTTGGTAAGGTTGACAGATCGTAGGAGGACCCGTGGTATCGTGAGCCGGGCCCTAAACCCTAAGGTTTAGGGCTTGGGGCTTAGACTGGGTTAAACCCGAACCCCAAAACCCTAGGGCATAATACTGGGTTAAACCCTAAACCCAAAACCCTAAATCCTAAACCAGAAGGAGTGGCCTTCTTGGCGCTCGACACCACGTTGCCCCAACCCCAAGTCCTCGGCCGAGTTCAGGAGCCAATTACAGGAGAAACCAGAAAGTTGGAACATGATTACCATTAAGGTAGAGTATAGGGTATCCCAGCACCAGTCAATCCCTAAACCATGTTCCAACTTTCTAGGGTTCACTACAAGCTGCAGACGAAGCAACGCAGTGATGTGACGTGGTATGATAGGATATAGTGATGTAGTAGAACACAACTTAGTTTAATGTATCATAGTATGATATCACAAAGTCTTTGGTGTACCAAAACATAATATCATGACATGTCAAAATATGATATGGTAAGATGACATGATGTATTGTGGTATATTAGAAGTCTAAGTCTGGTACAGCAACGACAGCATTATCATTAATATAGTACTGGTACTCGTATTCGCATCAGCATTAGCACCAGTACTGGTATTAACATTCGTATATTGTAGGAGTATGAGCATGAGAATTAGTATTAGTATTAGCCTGCATATGAATTTGAGTGCTAGTTTTTCTTTTCGCACTAGTGCTAGAATAGTATAACCCAGTGCTGGGATTCAATAGTAGCTGTACTTACACGAATTCCGATATGGATGGAGATAGGAACGGGTAACGTAGCCGTACGTAATGTTAACGGCGTGCGCCTCGAGCATGCCTTATCATGAACGACGGGAGAGAGCTGCGCATGATGATGAGGACGATGATGATGATGATGATATTGTTCTTGATATTGTTCTTGATGATGATGATGATGATGATGGGGAGGATGATGATGATGAGGATGCTGATGATTTCATTGATGATAATGATGATGATGATGGGGATGATGATGATGATGAGGATGCTGATGATTTCATTGATGATGATGATGATCATGATGATGTGCTTGATGATAAACATGACGACGATGATGACGATGATGATGGCCACTGCAGGTACGTCGGGCGACGTCAGGACAGTGAATACCAACACAGCCATCATCATCGTTGCGGGCAAAAACATGTGCTTGTGCATCACCATCTTCTGCAACATCATCATGGGTAATCCTAGGGCCCTAGGCCAATCATGTCACGCAGGACAACATGTTCAACTTAACTGTCGCACCATCTGCAGGAATCAGCACCGAGCACCGTAGAAGAACCGTGATGACTGACATGCAGGAAGTGGGAAGAAACAGAGCACTTATGGCTTATCCTATTCCTCACCAAAAAACATAAACCCGACTACGTCAAACCCTGAAGCCTCCTACTGCAGACCCTCATGTACTCTTTATTATTTCCACTGCCGGTTCCACGTGTAAATGCATCCTCAGCCCCCCACACCCAGTTCTTTGCCGCTCCCAAGCCGTTCTGCATCTTGTCCATCGGAAACGCCTTGCAGATTTCGGACCACACCAGCTGCATAACAAGGGCTTCAAAAGGTCTTATTGTGAGGGTTTGAACATAGGGTTCCTTAAACCCTAAGCCTAAACCCTCATAGGGGATGTATTTATTTGTTAAAGCAGGGTTCAAAGCTGAGGTCAACCCTAACCCGAGAGTCTCGCGAGAGATTCGGAAACTAATCTCAGAACTCTGTTCTGAGTCCGTGTTCGCCTACAGCGAAATAGTCAGAAATTTCTTGATGCACTTTACACAGTTGGGCTTCCGAGGCCCAAAACGGTAGATAACTGGGGGGGGTGGGGTGGGGTAGCATATCTATCTATATATATATATATATCCATATCCATATCCATATCCATATCCATATCCATATCCATATCCATATCCATATCCATATCCATCTATCTATCTATATATATATATATACACCTCCTCAATCGTAGGATTCCGAAACATCAGGACCTCCAAAGGAACCCTTCAATGTTGCGAGGCTCACGATAGGACCACATCGGAGGCCTGCCTTGGAATGGAAGCCTAGGCCTGCAGTCGGCCTTTTAGGGTTTAGGGTTCGGGATCTGGCGATTTCGGGTCGACAGCTGCTGCACAAGCAAGTCTATCACCAGGCAGCTCGAGCACTCCGTTGAACCACCGACGGAATTAGCGAAAGTTCACAGGGCTGACATTTGCACCATGGGCACGGCCATTCAAGCTGTCCAGACCAGTCACCTGCACTGGTAACTGCCATGGCAAACGTCGCAAGACAGCACAGTCTTCGCTGGCTGTTCTGCTAAAATGCACGGTCGTGAGAAATGTACACCTTGGGTGCTTTGATTCCTGAGGTCACTGTACAAAGCCTCCCGCTGTAGCACGGTCTTGGCCGCTTCTGAGCCAAGCCATTGGACTGCTTGTAACTGCTGCCAGTTGCACTGTGCACAAGTGGGGTGACCAAATTCGTGTCAGGTGTGCTACGACGAAGAACTGCCATAATTCTTGGGAGTTGTGTTGTCCGGCTGGATGGTTTTCTGGACGATGGGCATGTTCGGAGAACCTGTCAAAAGCCGTGGGAGTGCCTCCGCCACTTCCAGGCCCGGGGCCTCGTCCTGCGAGCCCTGCGACGTGGACAGCAAGGTGACTAACTGCCGGAACTCGTGGTCGAAGCTCTGATTCACAGCCATGAGGGCCTGGCGGATGGAGCCGCGCACGAAGGCGTTCACAGCATCGAAGCCGCCAGGCATCTGCTCCACGAGCTCACGGATCGTCCGCTGGTCTTCAGCATTGGTGGCCTGTGCCTCCCGGAGGTCCAAGGAAGCCAAGCGCTTTGCGGTTGCCATGGCCACATCGGTGCCCGACTGGCCCTGGTTGATGACGCCGGTCGAGGTGCAGAAGTGCAGGCCTCCAAATGCCCTGGTCTTCCTGGGAGAGGATCAGCGTCTGAAGCACCTCAAAGAGGCACCAGGCCCTCGTCAACGGCAGCGCCAGCTCGTCGAGCACCATGGCGGTGCCTCGACAACGGACATCCCTGAGCGCTAGGTAGAAGGAGGAGCGCTGCCAGTCTCCACTGCCAAGCTCCACCTCGACCTGAGCGCTGAAGACCAAATAACACAAACCCTAAATTTTCAACACCACTAAACCCTAACAGCCCCAAAACACCCTGGAAACAATCAAAACCCTCAGAACCCCCCCTACAATACG